ATTCACCGATCAACGCCTAATCTACCGGGATGAGAGGTGACAAGTCGTTTTTAACCCGGGTGTTTTCGGCTGTAAAAAAATCTCCAGAACGTATTCGCCCTTTTGGGTCAGATTTTCATGCTATTCTCGGGTTTTCTAACATATTACATACCTAATGATTTATCTTTCAGAGTTTTTTTATGATTTTTTACGAGGCTTTTGTTTACATTCAACGACGCGTAGCATTCTAAGATTAAAATTCAATTTATTTTATCCTTGTGAGGAACAATTAATAAAGATAGCAAACTGCCTGGCCATGACGCTTTGTCCTCTCGATCAATAAATATTCCATCATGTTGAAAGAATAGTAAAAATCTCCCTTCTTAAACTCGTCACCCTTTGACACGAAAACAAAATGTAGTTATGAGAAAAACCATTTTTCTAAGGTAGAGTGCACACCAGAGCTATAAAATACACATCTTTAGGTCGGAAGCGATATATGATAACTGTCTTGTAAGATTCGCAACGCTCAGGTCTATAAAAAATCGTGAAGGAACGACTAAATTAGTTCATAGTGTACGATTCTGACATGTGTCGTAATATACCTGTATCACGAGTCAGACCTGCTTGTCTTTTCCTTCAGTGTCGTACGATGTTGGGAATGGTTAAGATGGAAAATTCAAAAAGTGAGGTCATTGGCTGGCATGTCTTATCGCTTCGGTACCTCACTTATCTTAGGTTAAAAATCGTGTAACTAATGTTACCACCATAATGAATAAATCGCAGACATTCAAAGAAGTTTTAGTTTATATTGGCTGTATCAAGATAAGCTAGCTGAATCCACAACGGATTAAGTTTCATCAATGTAAGCAAGTAAATCTTACCGCTAAGGTGTGGACCCGGCCTAAAACTTCATCCTGTTGGGTGTTGTGAACTAAGTGTCAGGACTACATTACACCCAAATATAATCCAAGGGGATTCGAACCCAGAATCACTAGCGTTGGAAAATTCTAATACTATTCGGCCACCGCGGTTCCTACAGATCTATGCCTAAATGACGTAACTTACAAGTACCCCAAGGTCGCTCAGTGGTTAAATGTAAGCTGCCCTTACTAAAAGTTTTTAAATTTCGTACTTACCTGTTTCATCAGGCTTTCCATCTAATTTGGCATCTACACTGAAAGCTGAAGGACGTAGGATGTCGGTAAAATATACTAAAAGTTTTTAAATTTCGAATTTACCTGTTCCAAATCAGGCTTTCCATCTAATTTGGCATCTACTCTGAAAGCTGAAGTACGTAGGATGTCGGTAAAATAATTCCTGTCCTGATGGCTTTAGTTAAAAGAACCCGTTGGGTGTTCAGTTCAATCTGAGCTGTCCTTACTAAAAGTTTTTAAGTTTCGAACTTACCTAAATACTACTCTTGTCTACTCTTGAAGATGAAGGATGTAAGATATCGGTAAAGTAATTTCTGTCCTGATGGCTTAAGATAAAAGAACCCGTTGAGTGTCTTGGACGATAGAGTAGGATCATAATACTTTTTCCACATTAAACATAAATAAAATCCAAGGGCTGTGTTGGGACTCCGACCCAGACCTACCAGCGTGGAAAAATTCTAGTGCTCGGCCATCGCGGTACCACTCATCTATGCCTAAATAATATAACTTACAAGTACACCAAGGTTTCTCAGTGGTTAAATGTAAGCTGTCCTTACTAAAAGTTTTTAAATTTCAAACTTAACTGTTCCAAATCAGGCTTTCCATCTAATTTGGCATCTACTCTGAAAGCTGAAGTACGTAGGATGTCGGTAAAATAATTCCTGTCCTGATGGCTTTAATTAAAAGAACCCATTGGGTGTCTTGGACGATAGGTTAGGATCATAATACTTTTTCCACATTAAACATAAATAAAATCCAAGGGCTGTGTTGGGACTCCGACCCAGACCTACCATCGTGGAAAAATTCTAGTGCTCGGCCACCGCGGTATACACTCATCTATGCCTAAATAATGTAACTTACAGGTACTCCAAGATTGCTCAGTGATTCAATGTGAGTTGTCCTTACTACATGTTTTTAAATTTCGAACTAACCTGTTCCAAATCAGGGTCTACTCTTGAAGATGGAGGAAGTAGGATGTCGGTAAAGTAATTCCTGTCCTGATGGCTTAAGATAAAAGAACCCGTTGGGTGTCTTGGTCGATGGGATAGAATCATATACAGTACTTTTTCCACATTAAACACAAATAAAATCCAAGGTCCGTGTCGGGATTCGAACCCAGAACCACTAGCGTGGCGAATTCTAGTAAGACGGCCTATCTACGCATCCACTACGATCCACACAGGTCCGAAGCATCCAAATGTATCACCATAATGCATAAATCACTGTCATATAACGAAGTTGTACGCCATATATTCACTGTAAACAAATCAATGATATAACTTACAAGTCCCCAAGTTTGATAAATCCTCAGCGGAATCTGTGGCTGCACTTGTTCTATGTTCGCTATGCCCTTTATTACGTAAGATTTCTGTCTAATGAATTGTTTTGTACAATGTTTCGGCTGTCGATCGAAGACCCATTCTGAAACGGTTATATCTTTCCTAACGTAGACATACTTGGATCCTTCCTCTCTATATACATAACCTCCTCTCCTTCATATCTTCTGTATTTTCCCTTAAACCTTGCTGTTACCCATGTCATACATGTCTCCAACCTCAGAATTCCCTTTTTTTCCTTTTTCCGCCGAGCTACTTCCAAATTTAAGCGCCTTTTGTTTGATTACCTCTTATCCTTACGACCTTGTTTTGTATATAAATTGACAGCTTTATCAAGTCTGAATATTTGAAATTACGTAGTATTCACAATTAATTATTCAAATGTTCCTTATGACAGAGAATAAAGTTTATTTTTCATTTCCCTTTGTATTTTTCAAGCTTATAGATCTCATCAACTATTTTTTAGCGTTTTCTTTCTCAACCTTTTTCCGTCTTCTTCTCAGGAATTATCTCATGCGGAGTGCCATGCCGTTGTAAATTAATGATAAAAGATGATAACTAGGAGTGAAAACGAAGTCTGAACGCGAAAATAATAAAAGAATTGTTTAGGGTACGAGTATGAGTCAGAGACAAATAAATAAAAGGACTTTATACTGGATTGTTTGTTGTTGGCCATGACAACGTAAGATCATTTGGTTGGCAAAATTGTTGCACTTTGTCTAAATCTGTAAATTCAACCACGGTATCGCCTCGCATTTGAACTTGATTTTTTTTGGTTGAATAAGGATTTTAAAAATACTTTCCTCCACTTCGACCTATATTGGAAACGCTATAAATTATAACCAACCATACATTAGAAAGTGCACTTTTGACTATGAGATTAGCATTTTCCTCGGTGCCTCTGCGCGCACCTCTTTTGGCATGAAAATTGCTTTCCCTGTAGTCTGTACCCCACGGGCTAATGCTTCACATTCACAAGGATATGTGACGATGTCTCTGGTTCATCTTGATAATGTCGCCATGCTACTGTCTCTACTTTGCCCATCTTCTTTAGATGGTTGTTAAGAGGGCGACATTGAGGCCTATAACCTTCTTCAAATCCTGCCTTCTGAGGGAGAATAGTTTCTTCGCATTCATTTTCGAAATATTTAAAAATCTTTTATCCTAATACCTGCTTTTGTCCAGTGTTTGAGTTTTTCTTTTTCAAGCCATTTTTCCAGTTACAAGTTGAGTACACACTCCGATGCACCTAGCTGTAGTTCTGGTCCCATGGTTGAGAGAGCTCCCTTTTTTTGGCTGGTTGGTCAGCCTGTTCATTTTCCTTCATGTCCCGGAACTCACTTTAAGGTCATCTTGTGTTCCCCAGAGCCATTAGGCAAGCATTAAGCATTAATCATTAAGCACTCCCAGACAACTTTAGAGTTGAAAGCATTCGCATTCAGTGCCGTTATAATAGCTTACTGGCTATAAATCTGTCCACCTTTCATATTTTACTTTATTAACTCATGTGCACATTGTGTATTGCATGGATGTTGGAAAATTGTTGGGATTAGTCCAAGAGGCTTTCCTATGGTATAGCCCTTTTACCACTACATCTACTCTATGTTCCATCTTCCATCCACCGTTTACCATATTAGGGCTCTTTCCTGAAACTTGAGTCTACATTCTTAGAAAAGTGTCTAGCAACTATGACCACTTGCTAGGGGCCTGTCAAAATTAAGTCCTTTTTCGCTTATTTTGTCAAGTACCATCCCATTTATTTTAAATCTCTTCAGAATTTTGTGGTGGCTCCTCCCTATATCTGATATCTGGCTTTATTATTTTCTTGTACCTCAGGAGCCCGTTGGCACTCTCAAAAACCACCTTTTTTACATAAATATGTAAAGATGGCCATTCACGATCACTCCAAATGGAACCGCGCCAAGCCGTACAGCTCCATTTGGAGTGCCTGAAATTTGAGGGGCATTCACGACCGCTCCACAGCCGAACGTCAACCAGTGAATTACCTTCTCAAAATGGATGACGATTTCTTGTGCTACTCTTCTGTTTATTTACATATTAAAAACAAAAAATCGAAGAGAAAATGGTGTAAGAAGTGGCTCCTGAACAGAAGCCGTAATACCCACATCAATTTGAACTTTCCCTTGAACCCGCTGATTGGAGGAACTATTTAAGGATGGATGAAACGTCTTATTTATTCATTATATTTAGTGTTCNTAAACAATTTTTGTAAATCCCAGGCCCTGAAGATGATCTCAATAAAGATCGAAACGTTGGCACGATAAAGAAAATGTTTTTCTGAAATCTACATCACACCAGACCGCATCTCACGATTTCTAAATAAACGTTAGATTAAATAGTATATTTTACTATTTTCAATGGCATAAAATCCATTTTTAAATAAACCGTTAAAAGAAATGGATAAATTAGGTAGGTAGCATTAACTTATTTTCATCCAGGCATATTTATGTGTTGACTGTTGTTTGTGTAGTCCTAAATTGTAGTAATTGAACTTAAAGCGATGAATTTTCTTATGTTGTTCTTTTTTTTATAGAATTGGAAATAAAATGCTTGGATTACATGAACCATTGGACTGCAGGATGAACTTCCCAGGTGTTCTGGACTTACGGACAGGGAAAGCAGGGAGTGATGGCTGGTCATCACCAAAGAGCGAGTGCTCAATTTCTCCTCCTCTGCCTATGAACGTTGTCTCTCCGACGATGGCCATAACACAGAGGGTTCTGGAGGCGGCGAACACACCCCAAGGGACTAGGCCTTTCAAGGCGTACCCCAAAGACCCGCTGTCCCTCTCGTCCTCGAACAATGAAGCCTACGTTCAATTCCGGCAACAGATGCTCGCCCAGGTACGGAGCAGCAAGTGCGCCAAGAAGAGGCCAAACAGCCCCCAGCAACCTTCGTCCAGCGGCGGTGAGACAGATGACAAAGACGCAGCCTACTGGGAGAGAAGGCGAAAAAACAACGAAGCTGCCAAAAGGTCGCGCGATGCCCGTAGAGCCAAGGAGGACGAGATCGCCATCCGCGCTGCCTTCCTCGAACAAGAGAACCTCAGGCTAAAATACCAAGTCGCCGCCTTAAGCGATGAAACCGCTAAACTCCGTTGCATGCTTTACAAAACCGAACATAATCTTATATAACACTAACTTTTTAATTGTACTATAAAAATGTAAATATTGTTTTATCATAAATGTAATTCAGAGAGAAAAGTCTGATGTTGTACAAAAATCCATTGCGTATTCTGCTCAGTGATGGCCAACAAATCTTAGTTTTAAGGTTGTAAATTTTAAATATATAATTAATTAAAATTCGTATTTATTTTAAGAGCATTGTGTGATTTTTATCAAACTTTTTTTAACTAAAAAGTATAAATTTTTATTATGAAACTTCTCACATATATACTACATGTATTTTTTTTACCATAAGCCTTCAATTTGGAAGCACACAAACGAATATGTGATTTGTATGTTTAAAAGAATTGATATTTAGTGTATTGCTATGAAAAAATTAAACATTAAAATACATCGCTTTTAATGTTTCCTAAAATTTACTAAATACAATGTTTAATATATAATACCGTTTTTTATTTAATCCACCCATTAAATAATTTTATAGAACAAATTATACTATCGGTTAGAGTTATTTTTAGGAGATTAACCATTGATAGGCCATTCGATAAACACTTATTTTCTATCTCATCAGGAAAATGTCATTTTGATGATTAGCAAAAAGATTGCTATTTTTATATAGATTATGATTACTGCAAACATTTTCTTTAAAAAAAGAAATACACATTGGTGGTCAGGTGGTTGGTAACATGTTAACAATGACGATTTTTATAACATTTTTAATAAATCAATTAGCTAAGGTAATAATTTATATCAGAAAATTATGCCGAAAATCCTAAAATATTTTATAAATTTATGCCATCTTATTGTTAGCTTTAGTTTGGGGATAGTTGTGTATTTAATACAAGATTTGTTTTTAATTATTCTACTTTGTTTTTGTGTTACAGTTTAACTTTACAAAGCAAAAAATGGATATTAGTGAAATCCTCACTTTTCTCAAAAACCATGGAACAAACATTCCAAGGAGTGTCGATGATCCTTTCTTTGATGAAGGGAACGAAATATGCCGGTTTACACAAGAGTTGGGATCGTAGATGAAGATGACGAGTCCTTGTGCCATGAACAGTTGAAAATGTTCACATGCGAAGTTATCAACTGTTCTGCCAAATTCGACAACTTCCTCGGCTATGACATGCAATACAATTCTTGTCATCGGTTCTCTTGTTCGGAATGCAAAAAACAATTCATTTCTCCACACCTCCTTGACTTGCACCTCTCCGAAATTCACGATTCGTTTTTCAAAGCTCAAGCTGGGAGAAAACCAATGTATGTTTTGTCGAATCGTGAGGTGTTGTAAGCAAGGATGCAAAGGAGCGGAAAAAGCACTACATAGAAGAGCTTAAATTCCCACATGACTTCAAGTTTACATCAGACCCAAGGACTGCTAAGAAGACGAAGCCCATGAAGAAAAAGAAGAGTGAGTCGATGGAAGTGGAAGTGTCAAGTGGTGCCAACCAGAGCCCTCTCAAGCCGGCTCTGCCTTTTTTCACATTTGGTCGAATACGTTCGACTGCCGGAAGCTGAAAGCGGAAACCAACATTGAAATGAAAGAACTGTTGGACAACTTGCCAAGCTGACTACTACATATTTTTATCGCAAATATTTCATTTTAATATTAGCAAGATCAATTGCTAGAGTAGGGTAGGTAAGCATTGCCCCATTAAGACACGCTAGTCTTTGTAGACTTTGTAACTTGTTATGTGTCTCCTTGTTGTGTTTTTGGCCATCATACTAGAGTTCCATATGTGGCGGTGCGAAGGGTCTGACCCTTGTGGTTTACAACCAATACCAATAATTCTCCAATTCTGCTGCATAATCTCTGGCCAATACTTAGTAGAGCCTTGGTTTTATGCACAATGTTGCCGATGGTTTTTCCTATTTGACCTTTTGGGAGGGGAGGTTATACCTTGGTACTTGGTTTCTTTGGAGAAATTCAAGGCTTCATCTTTTATTAAGGGTCTTTCATATTTAGCTTATTATTACCTTATGCTTATAAAATTTATGCGATATGTTGTCTTATTGTTTATATTTAAATCGATTTTCTTACACCATTAACATACAATATTCAAGGTGTATTGTCTCTGATTTCACAGAGACATGAAAATTCCCATTTATGATTGTTATCAGGTCATCTGTATTACCTATAGTATGGTATCTTAAGGTGTTAAGCTCTTTAATTAGATCACCTACTACTAGCAACCAAAAATTGGCGATAGTTCCCCAGTTGTCGGGGCATCCTTGGATACGTACTATTTGTATAGTATGATGACCAAGTTCAGTGCTGATTGGCAACTTATTAGCATTGCTAATATCCATTTGGCAGTCAAAGAATCTATACGAGCCTTTATACGAGGTGGCCGCAACGGTTTAGGCGTTGACACGGCGCTCATCACTGTAGGTTAAGGTCCGGGGTTCGAATCCAGCGGACCTGCATTCGAACTTGACGAACATACAAATGGGCTTTTTTTCAAAAACACCTGCACCCCGAGGGTTGATATTTGTATATATGATATATATAGGGTGAGTCATTTTTTGACGCACCATTGGAAAATCAACGTGAGTGCGTTTAAATCTGACTCAAGGCCTATTTCCTTTGATTAATACGTTAATAAAAGAAATAGAGTCAATTTTCGGTGCACCATAGGAAAATCAACGTTGGTGCGTCTAATTATGACTCGGCACATTTTCTTTTGTTAGTCTAGTATCAAAAAATAAGCGACTCACTTTTCGATGCATCATTCGTTACAAATTAGTTTTAGTAGGTTGGAAGGAAAATAAACAAAACCAATATTATTAAAACATTATTCAAACACAATGTAAAAATAATAAAAAAAATTCCTCACAAATTAATTTGATTAAGGTTTAAGAGTATTTTTTTCGTTCGATCATCGTTTTACGATAGACTAGCCTACTGTGTTGCAGCAAATGGAGGTCTGTTCAAACAATTATTATAATGATTTTGAACATTTTTGGTTTGCTAACAAAGGAGATTGTTACATTTATTTAATTTTTTTACTTTACCAGAAAAAAGGAGATTGTTACATTTATTTAATTTTTTTACTTTACCAGAAAAAAATGCTCTTAAACCTTAATCAAATTAATTTGTGAAGAATTTTTTTTAAATTTTTACATTGTGTTTGAATAATGTTTTAATAATATTGGTTTCGTTTATTTTCCTTCCAACCTACTAAAACTAATTTGTAACGAATGGTGCGTCGAAAAGTGACTGCCTATTTTTTTGGTACGAGACTAACAAAAGAAAATGTGCCGAGCCATAATTAGACGAACCAACATTGATTTTCCTATGGTGCACCGAAAATTGACTCACTTTCTTTTATTAACGTATTAATCAAAGGAAATAAGCCTCGAGTCAGATTTAAACGCAGCCACGTTGATTTTCCAATGGTGCGTCAAAAAATGACACCCTGTATATTTTTTTGAGAACCCTCGAAAAAAAACAACATACGTTCGTATACGAGGTGTTATCTAAACTCCCTCTATATCCATGAAGCAAAGCGCTATTTCTTTATTATCCAATGATATATCTTCATTATCTGCAATTTTTTGGGCAGTCTCTGTGAATTTACCCTTTTGGTGTGCATATTGTTCGCCATTGACGGGATTTTTTACAAGTTGATTATCGTCAATTTCTTGACTTACAATTTTCTCCTTTGTCTTTGGATAAAAGGAGTTAGGCTTATGAGAATAGAATTCGATTATATAATGAAAGCTTTTTTTAGTTGAAATCCTTTATTTTTATTATTTATTAAAAATGTGTTTATGGCATGGGTAAATAGTGAGTATTTCTTGTAGTTGTAGGTTAATATTTAGGAATAAGATTGAAGAACCACTTGTATAACTGATGTCAGGTAAGAAAACATACAATTATTCTTAGCCGATGGCCGATCATCACAATGATTTCGTCTTTAATTTGATAATTTTGCCTGGATGAAAGGAAGAATGTTTTAATTTTCCTTGTGTTCCGACCTGCGGACGTGGGCGCGGCGAACCCCTCGATTTTAGAAACGTGCCTCCTTTATTTCCTTTTCGCCTATTATTAAAATTGCCTGTCGTTTGTTCTTTTCCTTCTTGATTTCGTTCTAACGAGCTCTTCTGACGACGTAAACGTCTTTGAAATGCTCAAAAAGGTTTTACCAGGCGTAAAATAAAAATCGACTTTTCCTGGCCGTAGCGAGACCAGTTTATATAAAATTCAAAATCAAAAATCAGCAGACTTAAAATGAAATATAAGCATTGTTATAACTATACCTGAAAATCCCTCATAACTTCGTACCATTTTAGCATTCGACTATTTTTAGATCCAAGATTCTTTAGGGTGCTCAGGCAGTTTCAAACTATGTAATTCTGTTGTACCGTAAATTTGGTCCGCCTATCCTCGCTAGGTTTATCAGACGATCTTCGTGGAGTCTGTACAGATCAGTCTCTTTTATAAAGTCGTGGGACCAATCGGGCTAATCTGGCAAGGATATCCGGACCAAAATGATCGATAATTACCAACTTACAGGGCTATCACTTGCAGACCACAGGGAAAAGCTTAAGTGTTCCAGAAGAGTTTGAAAGTCATTATAGCTGTCTGGATATTCGGCAGTATTACTGAACCTTTGAAATATGGTTCTGAGCCGGATAAAGCCCTGATAACAGATCGGATAAAAGTAAGAATAAACAATTCCTTAACTTCCCTCATGACCTACGTCCCTCCTTACCGTTCAACTATTTATAGAGTCCAGTTGTTTAGAGAAGTCAAGCAGTTGCCGGGTATGTAATATGGTTGTTACCGATAATTTTGATCCACCTAGCGTCGATTGGTCTGTAGGTCGCACAACTTCATTAAAAAATACGGATCTGATCAAGTACCATATCCTTTTCCTACCTATTGCAGGGTAGTTGCATTGGATTTCAGTATCTATGTTGTCTCTATTTCCTCTATACTTTATCTATATTAATCATTTGTTAATAGTCACATTTTAATTAGTATTTTACGTGAGCATATCACGTAAATATACAGGTTAGGATTTTTATTGTTACTTTCTTTGAGAAGGTATTCCTTTTTCTACCATTGGGTAGTATTTCTTAATATAATTTTGGCTTATTTCATGAACGTACGGGTTTTGTGTTTATTTCTGCAACGCCAGGCTTATGAGTATATTCGAGGCACATTTTTGAGCTAGTATATCTGATGTCTCGTTACATGGAATTCCTTCTTGA